TCCTACATTTAATTACAGTACTTGTTTGTTACTTACATGAAATGGGAGTGTTGACAGGTCAAGTTGTTAATGAAAGAGTAAGATTGAGACAAAAAGATAAAAAAGGTATTGCATAAATTGGACAAATCATATGAATTTCAGTAGCTTCTCACAGGCATTCATAGAACGCTTCATTTTGTCTTCTTTTTTCTTGCTTTATGGTTTCTGTTGAAGAATCGGTGGAAAGGGCAACAGGAGATGAACATATTCCTTGCACTGTTCCAAGGCCTGTTCCATCATTAATTAGACCACCACTCTGGCTGAAAAACAGTAAAATGTGAACATATTAATCTGTTTCTCTCTGGCTAGTTCATCCTGTTGCAAACAATATTGCTGTTAATGTAATTGAGACAGAAAGTTGTCACTATTATTCTGTAGTTCCCGGAAAAAGTGTATAATGATGCAAGTATTTGCCATTTACTAAAAATCTGATTATCTTGTAAGATTTCTGTGGAGCTGCATTACATGAATTTGAGTAGGATTGGAGGTCTGTGCCATATTTTTGGTTATATACATCCCACTGCTTCTTCAGTTTAGCAAAGCGTTTAATTATGTACTTAAGTCTAGATATCTGAACAGTGCTGGTGACTCTAAAAATTATTTGATTTCATTGAAACCACTAACATAACTAAAGCTTAATCCGATGCTTAAGTTCTTTGATAAACTGAGGGCTGAAGATGTATATTTATTGAATAACATGATCAAAAGCATTTGCCATGTATTAGTAAACTAACAAAAAAAAAACCACAAGAAATAACCTGTGGAATTCTGGTGTACTTTATACATAAGAAGATTTTAGTAGTTTTGAGATATCTTTTAAAAATAACAATCAGACTAAATCTGTGGTTGAGAATGAGCTATGTAATAGAGTTGAGCCTCTGTCTTCTTGGTGAATCAGAAAGTTGAAATGTAAATGGTTAGAATAAGACTATTTTGTCAATTATTTGGAGTATTTTAACTTCTCTTATGACCTATGTATTACCTGTTTACAAGGTGGTAGATAATATTCCTAGACAGTAAACAAAGTTATGTAGCTGCCTCCTTATTTGTATAAATCCCAGAAAAAAATGGCAAGCTGCAATGCTCATTCTGTTTACATCCTACTTGTTCATTCTCTGTTCTTTTCTTTTTTTTTTAAGGATCCATCTGTCTCTTTTTCATTAGCTTTGTAATAGGGTTGAATCAATAAGTTACAAGGGAGTTAATCATTGTTCACTGCACATAGATTTCTCAAGTAGATAATCAGAAATGTAATGTACTTTTTGTGATCAGTTATAGACACCTCTTTTTTCCAAAGGCTTTTGAATCCTGTGTAATACAGCATGTAATTCAGCCTTTCACTAAGTTTCATTCTGCATTCATTCTTACAGTGAAGTCATTTACACCTTACATTCAGACTTAGGAAAATAATTGCAAGTTTTGCCTGGAGGATGTACAAATATGGTCTATGAAGCTGTAAATGCCTTTGGGAACAATAATGCTATTTATGCTGCATAAATGTTTAAGGAACACACAGCAAATGTTTACCTTAACAAAGCAATATAGATGGAACACAGCTGTTGTAATATTAAATAAAACCATCACTAATCATTTATTGATAACTGTAATAATTACATTGTTTGTAAACCGCTGTGAGATCCCTTTCTGAAAGTCTCAGTAGAAATACAGTACTTATTAATCAGGATTTGGTAGCAACCCAAAATGTGGTTTGTTCTCCTTTTTTATATTTTCTTTCTCTGGTAAGTGAAAACCCACTTACAGTAACAGCTATCAAAAACAGAGTAGATAAAAAGAACTGAATATCTCAAGCTTGAGAGAAACACTTCAAAAAACTATGAAGATTGTGCAAGACCATCATCCTGTTAAAATATTTGTTCTTATCTGTTCTCAGCATGTAGGTTGTGATAATATTTTGGGGTCTGATGCTAAGGAAGATAGATGCCGTGTTTGTGGAGGAGATGGGAGTACATGTGAAGCCATTGAAGGTTTCTTCAATGATTCATTGCCCAGAGGAGGTATGCTCATATATGTCCATCTATTGCACAATGCATTTAGATGACTCTTTGGCAAATAACAGTGCTGCATTGATTTCCGGCATTGCTGCTCGTCATTCACTTTGACTCCTTTTGTCTCGTTGTTTCCTTCTTCTGTATTAGTTTGGATTTATGTCAAATACAATAATATGTTTCAGTACTGAATACTTAGTTCTCATGGCCTTTAATGCACTTAAAAAGAAGTGTGTGGGGGGTGTTATTATTTAGTTATGATGGTATAGTAAGAGTAATGTTGTGTATGGTTTTAATGTGTATGGTAGAATCTGATATTTATAGTCATATGTGGAATTTTAGAATAGAAAGAATCCAGAAATGTCTCTTAAGTTCATCTTATTAAGAATGCAGGAAATGTATGTAGGCAATTAGTTTAAAGCTTAGCTCAAAACAGACAAGATTAGTGTTGCAATCTTGGTGTTACCAGTTTGGGGCTCCCGAGTACAGAAAAGGATTGATGCACTGGAGAGTTCAGTTCAGTGAGGGTCCACTAAGATTATTGGGGTCTGGAGCGCTTGCCCCTCTGTGAGAAACGCCTGAGAGAACTGGGCTTACTTAGCCTGGAGAAGAGGGAGTTCTGGGGAACCCAGTATTGGCCTTCCAATACCTATGAGGAGGTTATGGAGAAGACAGAGCCAAGCTCTTTACAGTGGTGTGCACATGGTGGGAGAAGAGACAATGCCTATACATTGAAACAAGACAGGTGCTGACTGAATGGAAAGAAAAAGTTTTTCCCCAGGTGGACAGTCCAGTGGATCAAGTTGCCCAGAAATGTTGTACAGTTTCCATCTTTGGAGTGTTTCATGACCCAGAGGGATAAAGCACTGAGTAACTTGGTCTGATCTCCTAGCTGACCCTGCTTGTAGCAGGAAGTTGAACTAAATGACCGTCTGAGGTCCTCTCCAACCTGAATTATCCTGTGATCCTAAGGTCATTTTATACGTTAATTACTTGTGATAGGCTGTTGAAAAGACTTTATTAGCACTTAAAAAAAGGAATTCCTGACTACATAGTAAGTTCTTGCTATCACTTTCGAATTTTTGTATCCAATTTAAAGAGTTTTCCTTTGTATCACATGAAAGAAAATGTTCAAGTACATTTGTATCCCATATCTCATACTAATTTTTAGTAGTAAATAATTTGTTAATGGTTAGTTTCATGACTAATATTGATTAACATGAACAAGAACAAATAAAATTTACATTTGTCTTACAGGCTATATGGAAGTGATTCAAATTCCAAGAGGTTCTGTGCACATTGAAATAAGAGAAGTGGCAATGTCAAAGAACTACATTGGTAAGAGCATGGTTTAAATAGCAGACTGTTACTAAGTCAGAGTGTATGTTGTGATTTGAAGGTACATTTTCTGGTTTACCCCAACCATACACATAATAGAAGCAGCAGAGGGAACTGTTACCTGTTAGTATTAGGTTGTGGTCAGACAGTTGCAGCAGTTGGTTAGGATGTATTCTCCTGAATGGAGCTAATGAAATACATCATGTGATTCCTCCTTGTCCATTCAGTGCAAAATCAGGTAAATTTCACTATGGTTATAGTGTCAGACTTGAGCTGAAGTGGATGAGGAACACTCAAATGATCTACTCTCCCACTCTGAGGTAGTGTCTTCCATCTGGGAAGTCTCTGATTTTGGGAGATTATACTGTTTTAAAACATGATTTTATTCTTGGAATGATTATTCATCAACAGCCATAGTTACTTAAACGCTAACAATACTGCCTCCTTATATTAAGGCAACTTAAAGTATTAATTCCACAGTGTTTCTGTGTTGCTGTGTTGTAGGGACTAGATGCCATCCCTGTTTTATAGATAAGGAAAATGAGGTGCAGAAAAACTAGGTGCTTAATTGACATCATTCAGGAAGCCTGTTGTAAAGCACAGAATTAAATTAAAATTCCCAGATTATTATTCCTTTCTTAAAAGACTATGTTAAATTTGCTTTCTGTTTTTTTAATATTGCCATGTACAAATCTGGCTTCGTCAAACTCAAGACAACATGCATTTCTCAAAGTATCCGTACCCTGATTTGCACAGCAGTCAGTTCACAGTAGTGCAAGAACACCCATTTCTAGTCAAAAATAGATTAGAGAGCTGATAAGTTGTACAGTGAACTAACAGATTAACACAACCAAAAGCTATTACCTGTTTAGGCTGAAGAGCAGCTGATGAGGCTACTTTTGTCTATCTGTACTCCATGTGGTTGATATATATACACTAACATGTTGGAAAGGATTATGGTGCCAGTAAGTGTGAGTTAGAAGGGCAATTATCCTCCTAGGTGCATTGATTCCTAAATGGATTATATTGATAATAACGGTACCTTTACTATTGGATGCCTACTTTTCTTTCTGCCTGACCCCACCCTTCTGTAATTCAGCAGAAAATAAATCTCCCTCCATTCTGCAGGAATAACACCACCACCACTCCCACAGTAGAGTGCTCATTATTCTTTCAGCATCACAGTCCCCATGTCCCCTCCCACATGTCAAAATACAGTGTGGGTAAGGTTGCTCATGTATCCTATACTGGCATTTCAAACAGAGGTGGTGGGAGAGAGGCATACAATGCATCCTGTCATGGTTGGTTTCTGGTAAGAACTATTGCACGGGCAGCTGAAAACCAGAACAAAGAAGATAACTCTTAGCTACTACAATTAAGTTTGTTATTCCTTATATTTTATAAGCAGAGGAAAGTGATCTGGAACAGCATTTAGATTGGCAACATCTATAAAATGAATGAAAAATCTAAATTTTTTGGCTTAAATAAAAAAATACAGACAGCTCCATTGGTATTTAATCTGCCTGCAGATCTAAAAATGTAAAGTGGTACATAAACACTTTTTTTATGAGCTTGTCACAATTTCAATGGGTTTCCTGAGTTTCAGGCTCTCTCCTCACTGCCTTGCTTCATGCCACAGAAGACCTGACTACACAAATGGGGGATTCCTCTTCTTCACTAGTTTCTTGTGTCTCCAACTTCCGAAGGTGCCATTATATCCTAATGAAAGATAATCTTACTAAGTCGCAGGGGCCATTTCATTGTGTGATGGGATGTTTCGTTCTGTGAGTGTGAACCATATCACTATTTTAGAATCACTAGTTTCTGGGGAAAGGAAGGCTTCTAATTTGTCTGTTCCCTTAAAAGAACTATACAAGCACAATGGTAGTTAAAAATGAGTTTATTATGTTAAAATATGTACCTCAAGGGTATATTTTTATGGATATTTCTTTAGTGGCAGTGTGAACTTCACAGCTCCTTCCCTGTCTTTATGGAGTTCCCTCTGTTGTTCCAGGACAGCTGTTTGTGTGGCCACACCATGAACCAGATTAGAGAACTGATTCAGCTGAAAATAACCATTTACATGTAGTACTGTATTTTGGTTTATGTTCGCTGCTGTCAAATAAGTGACCACAGTCTAAGGAATCAGTTTCTCCATTTGGAAGTATAGAAAAAAGGAAAAAATAAAATCACCTTCCTCTGTAGTTGTCACACTGGCTTTGAAGTTTCTTCTTTGTTTGTTTCAGTTAGCAGGCTTTCAGACTATCTTGCAACAAACATCCCATGGTTCCTTAAACTAAGATCCAGTTCTTGTGCAAGCCATGGCCTCAAATTTAGGCTGCAGTTAGACATTTGGCAATTCAGTTAGCTCAGTCATCACCTGTCCTCCCTTCCCCTATCTCTGGCTGATCATTGCTGCACCAGTATCGCTCCTACTGTTGTGACAGCAAAAGCACATTTCTGCAGCTGCATAAATAATTCAGTATTTTAAACTGATCTGTCCAACAAATAACTCAGCAATAACAAAATTGCCTGTTTTCAGAGCTGCTGAAAAAAAGTGTGTTTAGTAATGCTGTTATGTTCCCTTAAATGGCTTGATCCAGGGTGACATCTTCCCTTATATTCTCCTTATGCAACAGTGTGTTTTGTGTGAATTTTCTGTGGGCTTCCTGCATTCTTAAGTTCTCATAAATGATTTGGTTAGGGCATTAACTTGTTCTGTCTGTCTGATATGCTAATAGCATTATGCCACTGCATCATCATTGTCATGTAATTACATTATTGGAATGCTATTCACAATTGTGTGGCCTTCACCTATGCGTAAAAACTGACATTAGGTAAATCTATTTACAGAATGCAGATGCATTTTTATTTGGCAGTCAGTCAGACAGGTAAAATATGAACTGCTTTGATTCTGGTCATACATTAGTTTAAGTTTATATAGCATACATACAAGTGATAGCATATAATTTCAGAATTATTAATTATGTAAACGTGAGAATGTTTGTTCTCTTGTTCTCATTTATATGTCTCATTTGTTGTTGTTCATATGTTTCAAATAATATAAATAAAGAATTCACTTCATTATTTGCTCTTAGTAGATACTAGACATACTGACAAGAAAATGGGATTGAATGGCAGAGTAAGAGAGACTTTAATATGTCTTGGTAGCTGTGGGAGACCCTGCGACCTTCTTTTAATTAAGCTAAATTTTGTAAAAGCAGGATGGACAGAAATTTAGGCTGTATGGAGATAGGACCACTGATAAAAAAAATACTGATGTTCAGCTGTAACATAGTTATTTCATTTACCCACGTAAAATAGATAAATAGTGAAGTACTGTTCCTTTCTTTTAGTGCAGTACTGCTTGCAATTTGTCTTGTTCTCCTGTGCTCACTTTTTTTACTATCTCCTTCTTGTGCTACAAAACCTATACAGACAATAAGGGATCTGAACTACTTTGAGAATTCCAGATAAGTGAATGTGTCAAAGCTAGTTTCTTCACTCAAAGCACATAAGTGTTTCCAAAGTAAATCTGGGGAAGTCAATGGAATAAGATTTATGCTATAGAAGGACATTCCTTTTCAGACCTTATGGTGCTGATGGAAATGCTTACTAATCCCTGCTGAATATGGCTGTCACCAACAGAACATTACTGCCTCTCCAACTATCTCCTGCTCATATGAATGCTCCCTGATCTGTTTTAGAAAATTTGAGCATCATTGAGACATTTTCCCTAACTGTTTAAGGTAAACCGTCTGTGCACACAGATGTAGTTGAGAATGAAACTTGATCATAAGTTGTCTTATTCCTTATGATTGTGATGTGAGTTTGTTTCCTATCTAGTGAAGTCAATTGTCTCAACAAAAAATGACATGGCTGTTTGATCATGTATTTCCAACCATAATTTTGCCTTTAAGAACATGTTTTATTTAAAGTAAATATGAATGCTGAATAACTTGGTAATCTTCACCTTAAGTCAAGAAGTCAATATCTAATTAACAGAATATTCACCTTAAGATACAAAGTCAGTTTCTTATTTAGAAACTTAATCCAATATTATTGATAGAAAATCAAATATAAGTCCCTGAATAATATCTGCTTGTCCAGCCTAATTGGTTGGTTAGCTAAGAAATTTATGTTTTACCTACAGTACTTTTATGGTTTAAGGCTGTAAATTAGGAATAGTAATATATCTTATCAGATTAAGTAGCTAGTATGTGGGTTTGTAGCAGAAATATCTTGGATTTATGCTTCAAGTAGGAAAAAAAAACAGTGGACGAAGGCAACAAAGCAAGAGCTGATTGGCACCATACTTCAGACTCAATGTTCCTTCTCTTTTTTTTCCTCTGCACATTATCTGAGATGCCTATCCCTTGCCTCAACTTCTTAATCTAAAGATTAAATTGATAAATGATTATACATTTGAGACCTATGTATATCTTATGTAGAACAGCATACATTGCACATGGGCTCGGTTTTAAAGTTGAAGATATATTGCAAGTTGCATGAGGCATTCTGTTTTGTTCCATACAGCATCTGCATGTTGAAACCTGCAAAGTATACCTGCACATTGGAGATTATTATAGAGGCAAAATTGTCAAACTGCATGAGGGATATTTTGACCTGGGCTAAAGAAAAGGCTTTATATTGCTTGAAAAAATAGTGATATTGAGCTGAAGCTCACATATTTCTGACAGATTAGTAGATTAATTTGCAATGGCTTCTCCATTATAAATGCTGCTTCCAATTTTTAGGTGGCTTGTATTTTTTTTTAAGCTTTAAAATCTGAAGAGGATGACTACTATATTAATGGTGCCTGGACTATTGACTGGCCAAGAAAGTTTGATGTTGCTGGAACAGCTTTCCATTACAAGAGGCCAACAGATGAACCAGAGTCTTTGGAAGCACTAGGCCCTACTTCAGAAAATCTCATAGTCATGGTAAAGTTATAATTAATATATTTCTGAAATTTGAAATACATGTTTGTGTTCTGAGAAAAGACAAGGCCATGAATGAAATCAAAATAGGTTGTGTTTTCAATGAATAAATGGCTTGCTTAGCTGGAAGTTTGCATATATGTTTTAACACAGCTTTCTTACCTTTCAAAGCTGACGGGCAAACATTATGATGAAACAGGGATAAAGTCAAAAGAGCCCCAGGAAATCTCACAGAAAATGCTCCATCTCTGTTAAATGTGGTTCAGAATAGTGGTAGCTGAAGTTGTAAATGGGGCATAAGTTGTATGTCTACATACTGCTGATATATGGAAGTGCTGAGATACAGCATGACATTTTCTGACAGTTCTGTAGGTGTCAGTGGTTTTAAGCCTGGCCTGAGTGTGAAGTATACTCTTACCACAGCAAGAGTATCGTGATGTGACCCATGTTAAAGTACGTTGCTGTGACATACATTGCTCTGAACAGATTGTACAAAATAAGAGAATGTAACAGAAGATGTGACCAGGATCCTGATACTGTCTCTGACAGCAGGCAATAGTAAGCCTAGCCTTGTGCTACTATGTTGAGGAGGAGCATAAGAACAAGGTGGTACTTGCCCAGTATATTCTGTCAGCTGCCAGATTTGCAGTTCAGGGATTGCTTGAGCCAGATGGGATATGTATGTGTATAGAATGATTGTTGCCTGCATATTCACAATTTAGGCAGCATTTTCAAACCCCTGAATCCTGGTTTTTCTGCTGTAAGTGTGGATAAGCTAGAGAGTCCATTATAGTGCCTTTTCTCATTCAGTCAGTGCCACTGACTTTCTTACTGAAAGTTCTCTGCTCCTTTGTCCAGTGGAGATAGGTAGATATGCCTCTTCAAAATATCACAGAAGGTAGAAGAGGATGAGAATTAGCTCTAAGATGTGTCAGATTGCTGCATCTAACGTGGTATATATTATTAGCAATAGAAAGAAAAAGTTTCATAGAGAGTCAAAGGCTAGTGTTGGACAGGTGGTATGTGGAAGTGCAGTTCAACAGTGAGGACAGACAAAAACTCATAGCGATTGTTGCACTTTGATCTATATCACCCGCAGTGATACGGCTGCAGCGAGAGTTTTGATATACCTTTATAGGAATCACAGATGTGATTCCACCAAGCTAATGCTGTTGGCTATTGCATTAGGGGAAAACAATGACCTCAGCAGCAGTCTGTTGCTGTTACTGTTATTATGTTATAGTCACTAGAAGTGCAAACAAGGGCAGAGCTAGGTTCATAACTGTTATGTGGGTAGCTCCTTACAAGATTTCAGTGAGGACTGCTGCATGTTTGTGCAGTAATGTCCTTAACCAACTTTGACCTCACATAATTATTCAGCTGTCAACTTAATTTCCATTAACACATTAATTTTATGAAAAATGGCTTTTTAGAACAATTATGTCAAGAATAAAGATCTGACAGAAGTTATAAAGTTGTGTTAAGGGGGAAAAAAAGGCAAAGCTCACCTTAGACAATAACGCTTTTCCTTTGTATATGTTTTAAAAGTTAGTCCAGATACTTTTGGGAATATCTAAAAGAGCTACTATGGCTTCCTTTATTAATTTTTCCCTTCCACAAAACATAACACATACCTAGATTAAATATCACTGTAGTTGCCCTCTGCTTGCCTGTTTTAATGGTATAACCAGTTGTTTTCAACTACAGATTCTGCTACAGGAACAAAATTTGGGTATAAGGTATAAATTCAATGTTCCCATCTCTCGCACTGGCAGTGGAGACAATGAAGTTGGCTTTGCGTGGAATCATCTGCCTTGGTCAGAATGCTCTGCCACTTGTGCCGGAGGTAAGACACCAGGCAGTCAAGCTTCAGGGTAAACTGAATTGCAAGATACAGTTTACTACATAATTATGTAGGTAACTAATTGAAAACATTTCTTTCAGACATGCCTCAAACCTTAATTTAGTGAAAGAACATTTATTTTTTCACAATGGATTTTGTTGTTTTCAAGTACATTTAATATGTTCAGATGTTTTTGTTAAATACAATGTATCTTGGCACAGTCTGTCTCTCTGCTGATCCTTCTTCTGAGATTCTCTTGAAGCTGGTATGTTTGCTTTTCACAGGAGCTTTCTTGATAAAGGACCAGAAGCTTTAAGTAAGGAGATTAAAAACCAGAAGGCAAATAAGGCAACTGTAAATAAAGGGATGTATCCTTGTGTGTTTGTAGGTATGCTTCACAGGATCCTAGTCAGCCCTTCTATCCTTCAGCCACCAAAGTTTAGGATACATACTAGCAGCTCCTCTGTAGCAGATGATAAACAACTCGATTATACTTCCCAGCCCATAGCAGTATCTGAGAATTGTTGCCTATTGGCAGCAGTGGGGGATTTGTAGGTTGTCCCATATGATTCATCATGGGTGCCTTTTGCCCACAATTTACTATATTCCTAATCCTCCCTCTAGTGGCCACCAATGCAATTCTTTACCTCTGGCTGGGAGAGCAGGACAGTTGGCTTCCTTCAAAGCCAACACCATTGCTGCTGCAAGGACTGGTGAGTAGAAGTGCTGTGTGAACAGTATCTTTCTTCTCTCTGGAGACTGAATGAATCATCTCCCCAACATACCTCAGTTTCAGAAGGTATTGGAGAACGCTTTAAATCCACCTCCGAATTTCAGTTTTCTACTGCACTGTGCACTGCCCATAGCAAGAGGAAGATGCCATATTTTTTTAAAGAACCTTTGGACCAAATATTTATCATTTTCTTTTTTTTCTGGCTACTGGAGGTAGTCATGTTTAGAACCATCTTGACTCATCTTTCTGCTGGAACCTGCTGTGGCTGTTACTAGTTGTTTGCTCTTTAAATACATCTGTTTGCTTAGCCATACATAATACACAAAGGACAGCACAAATTCTCTTCTGTGCTGCTAAATAGAGAATGTCTTGAAACAAAATAGAGGAAGGTGCCAACTTTCTCCAACATTTTTATCATTCATTTGTTGGATTCCTGGGTGGCAGATTGCTTTTTTAACTACTGTTTTAGTAATGGTGAGTCTGGTAGGAAAAGGAACATTTTAAAGAAGAAGTATAAAGAGGGAAGTGCCTAGCTCATAGCAAAAGACTGTTCCAAGTATCAGAACCTTAGAAGTACTGTCAAATCCTATTTTTATGACAGCAATGAGTTAATGAGCTTTTTGAAGTCATGGGAAAACTCCCATTGATTTAGGCAGAGACAAGATTTTAGCCATGGATCTTCTGTCATGCAGGCCATTGTCATTTCACAGGTTGAATAGTATACCATGGAAAAAATACTTGGCTCTGAAGGATTAGGCACTTGTCTAGATTAAAACATTTTGACTTAATTAACTTTTCAGGGAAGATTTGTGAATCCCTGAAAACTGCATACTTCATTTGAAACTTTTTTGTGGGGGGGAAGTTTTCTTTGGTAGCTTATGGTGGTTAAAGCAGGCACTTCCCTTTCTTTCAGCTTAGTATGAGGATATGCTATGGTCACTTATTTTCACTGAGCTCTGTGCTCCGGGAATAAATATTTAATTGTAGCTGTAATTCATGTTAAAAGCTGTATCTGTTTTCTCCATATGAGTACCTGCTATTCCCCCCAGTTTATGAAATGCCTTTCGCCATATGCCAAAAGAAGACACAATTCTAAAAGGAGCTGAGTAAGGGAAAAAGAAAAGGGAGACAAAGGTTGTAGAGACAGAGACCATAACTGGAAAATTTGGCTAATATAAGTATGAATTGTTGAGAAAACTTAGAAATGAAACCACTGCATGGCTTTGTTTATTTCTGTAGGATTCATTGTGAAGTGCATTACTGAAGTTCTATTTACTTGAGCTTTGTCTTTATAAAAGACATTTTGCTCTACATCAAATGATAATAAAATATTAAAAAATTAAAGAATTTCTTACTGAAAGTAAAAAAATGACAATAAACATGTGTGAGGAATATTAGTATGGAAATTATTTTTTATTCATGAGGTTAAAAAAAATCATATAGTGACTTTGAGACAGACTGTGAACAAGTTAAAGGCATCAACATTTTCCTGGATCTTATTGTAACTCACCTGTAGTGCATGGCCTGATCAAGGTTTGCTCATGTGATATTCCATCTTGATCCAGAAAAGCTCTAGATGACGTAGAGCCATATAGGCAGAAAGCATAGGCTTTATATCAAAGCTGTAGGCAAATCTAAATTCTAATCAACACAGTTAACTTCTGTCCATCTCTGAACATGTCTGTATTTTAATGTTATGTCTTTTTGTGTAGGTGTATGTAACACTTAAAACTGTCTTAAAAAAGGACATCAAATTTGCAAGTATTTAGAAGCCAGGAAATGACAGAATTAAGGATGACTATGAAATCTTAAATTGTTTTCTGTAGTTGTGGCTGTTCTGTGAAACAGGGACCAGTTGAGCAGGGACCATTCTCTGAGGCTGTGTCACAGGCTAGCTCATGTCCACTCCACACTACTTCAGTCTAGTTCTCTCTAAATCACACTGACTATATCTGCATTACATACCATTTGACCAAGTCTGTGACTCTTAAAACATAGTTATTACTTGATGTATGTTTTTTAATTCAAAGATTCTAAAAAATAAAAAGTGAGAACTGTATTACAGCCCACCAAAGCGATGTTTCTGTATTGTGAACTTGAGGATATGCATTGAATGTCATGAAGTAGAGCACAAAGGGTAGAGCAGCATTTTGGCAGTGCAAAGTTCAAAAAGTTTTGGAGTATTGTATATTGTAGAAGTGTCTGATCTTTGTGCAGTCTCTTCTTCATAGTATTTTGAGAGCAATCCACTCCATTCAGCTGTTCCTAGAGCTGCTTGTACACCTTGTCCTGGAGGATAACTAGAGCAGTCAGGAGCCAAGGAGCAAGCTAAGAGCAAGCTAGGAGCAACCTACAATCTTTAATTAGATGGTAACATGCTGTCTTTTCCACTGGACTTCTACATTATGTTAATCTCTGCTGTGCTGATGAGTCACATCTGAACAATAAAAGCACTTTAACTTTTCAAACAGGACCTCTGTTCTAGGGCCTGTCTCAGTTCTGCAGAATAAGAAGAGCATGGTAAATGGAATGGTAGGAAGGAGGAAGAGGATTTCCTGCTTATGACAGCTCAGTGCGGTGCCAGAGCTCTGGATTCCATTCCTCCCTCCCTTGTGTGGTTCTCATGTGATACTGAGCAACTCAAGGCATACGTTACAGTCTTACTTGCTCATTATCGGTTCATCATTATATGGATACCTCTCTGCAATGTCTGACCTCTGAAGCATGCAATGAATTTCATCATTGCATGAAGCATGTGTAAAGCAAAGTAGTCTTAAACTCAGCCAGGCACCTGAAATCAATGGACTCTTTCCACAGCAGACATTATACCTCCTCTCCCCCTGTATTCTTCATAGACTGGTCTAGGAGATAAATTAAGTTTGTGAAACAGTTACATGTTTAGATTCCCCCTAAAAAGCACAAGGAAGTTTTTCTTTCATGAGAGATTGTAAACTGTGTATTTAGTAGTATCATTCATGTTAAAGGAGAAAATGAAGTATTCCATAGTTTCTCTGCCAGTGAGCATCATGTTCTGTACAGTGAACCAACTAGAAGTCAAGTCTCCAAAGCCTGAGGTTTATTCTGGTGTTTTCTTAAGTTTTTCTAAAAATAGGTTCTTCAGATTTACCAGGTAGTTAAAAAAGCTTGCCTAGTAACAGACAACTCTTCTATTTTCCTGGATTTGTGTACTCATACGTAGGATGAGAATATAATTTCATTCATTTTTAATATCTCTTAGTATCTGTTCTTAGGCTTAGAAACCCAGAATTGCAGCTTTTCTTTTTGTACACTAGAACCAGTATTTTCTATATTGAAAAACTTTTCTTTAAAGTACAAATTTATAGTATCTAAGCTAGTTCTTCCTCTTTGGGAACATTATGTAAAAATGAGCTACATATATTCTCCACATTAATTCCCTTTTTTCCTGAAAGTTCACTGATAACTGTTCTGCTCTGAGTCAAGAGTTTTTAGAAGGAAAAGTTTGTTACTATCTCATATAGGTCTTTATAGCTGGTGCCAGACTTGGACAAGACTACAGGAAAACAATGCCAGAGAATACCAGAATGTACAGTGCACGTTTATCTATACAGAGGAGAGTGGGAGAGGAGAGAACACAGGGAATTCAGAAGGAATGGATAGATGAACAGTTCACTGGAATTCAGAAAAAAATGATGACAACAACAGAAGATTTTCTTTAAGGACCTGATTACTATTTAATGAGAAAGTCTGAGAAAGGGAAAACTAGAATATGTAGAAATAGGACATAAAATAATAAAATGAGGGCTGGAAAGAGAAGAAGAAAGTGCTAGAATAGGAAAGGGTGATATATATCACTTACAGATCACAGAATTGTAGTTTATTTACTCTCATGCC